GAGCAATTCCAGTGTATACACTGTCCTAACAAAAGTCTCTGAAACATCCTGCATAAAATAAAACTATTGTTAGTAAAACAATGAATTTGTGTTATCCTCTTTTTTCTTCTATATTATTTTGCCACTTCAGATATCACAAAACTTATCCTGCTATTCTTGTTTGTTTGAATATGAGAATCATTGTTATCTTTCACAAAGTATTGGTAGCAAGACATGATTCCGTCTGCCCTCAAAAGCACAGTAGGCACATTTGTTATTAAGTGAAAGACCACAAATTAGCTATATTTCTAGAACAGAAAAGGTGATTTCTCACCCAGATTTTTGGGAGCTAGACAGCTAGTGCAATCCATAAATTTGAACTCTATGAACACTACTTGCAAACTCTTCTAATTCCTGAACTATACACAGGAGTTTCTTCAGAGACAGATATTTGGCCTAGAAACCATTCTTTTAAGTAGGTAAGCAAATTGCAGCAGCCATGAATGTTCCAGTGCATTTATTCTTCTTTTTAAAGACACATAAGTCAAATAAATGAAACCCTCTGGATATCTTTTGCTGAATGTGGGCTGGCACAGGCAGCATCTGTCAGTTCCAGAGGCACAGGTAGTTCAGCCTCGTTATTACTGCAAAGACCTGTAACCCACATGAGGTGCAGCTGAGCTGCATCTAATGTTCTGCAGCTGAATTTTGCAGGTTTAACTGGTTTTTTGTTCATTTAGTTTTGCAATTTGTGTTTGGGAGATAAGTTTCAGGAGCAAGAACCTGATTCTATCTTTCTTGTGAACTTCAGCTTTCAGTTATAAAGAAAAGGTTTGCATATTTTTCAGTCTTTTTCACATGATATTTGACTGTGAGGTAGATAAATGTTTTTTGTTGATTTTGCAGTGGTTGGGTTTTTTTTGTTGTTGTTTTTGTTTGGTTGATTTTTTTTCTGTAGAATGTTAGCCCAGTGCCTTTGCTGAATGATTTTACAGTGAGCAGTGTGTGCTTATGCTTTGTAGCTCATCCTAGGTCATGTCACTACTTGTACAAGTAATTTTTTTTTTAACTTTCTGAATCTTGAACCCAACTTTGGCTTTTGAGAAAATTATGCGGAAAATGCCTGTTATGATAGGAACAAAAATGTGTTTTCTAAGAAAAAAAAAAGGTTGCTGTTCATTGCAAATTCTTTGACAATATTTATTTCCAGCTATTTCTGAAAGGCTGTTCAAAGGGAATATATGCTGTGTACAAAGCTGAGAGAAAACTAATACCATGATAAAAGGCAGGCTGTCAGAGATAATAAAGGCACACTTGTATCTGTGAAAGCCATTAATATTTCCACTCTTAATTGATTTTCTAAGAGACTGGTTGTTTATACTTTCTTTGGGGTTTTTTTTATTATTATTTTAAACCTTTTTCTGTTTTCATCCTACATCTTGCCTAGAAATAGGCTTTTTTTCTATCTTTCCTGGATTTTAGTTTAAAAAGTTGATTTTGTTTAATTTTCTTGAACCTTTTGTTGTGTTTCAGGATCTTCAAGTTTGTTCTCTTTATAAATTGCATCCTACAGCTGCCAATTGATTTGAAGAAACATAATCTCAAAGGTAGTGGGGGATATAATTACACAGAAATGAACTGAAAAACAGAAGAAACAAAATGTTACATTGCTGAAGAGAACAGGCTTTAAAATGTGTGTTGGAGTATTTAGATCTTAATGAGCTAACAAATCATACCTGAATAATAGACTTTATTATTAATTTTAACTGATCAGCTTAATATTATCTGTTCAAATTACCATATGAGTACTGATGGAAAGTGAAGTTAAAAGGAAGTTTTGTTTGTGTGTATATATATATATTTATATTTTTTTTTTCTTCTTTGAAACAGTGCTATTCTTTTGTATTCCCAATATGTGTTCATTTGCAACAAAATAGCTATTAACCAACACAGCTCTATAACAACATTGTTGATACCAGAGGATGCTTTTCAATGACAGGAGGCAGCTTTACCTGCTGGATATAGATTCAGTATTGATAATTTCTCAACTGCCAGCATCCTTTGGGACACATTTGAAAGAAAATTTTACTTCTGTAAAAGTGAATTGTTTCATGTTAGAAAATGGACCATGTTGCTGATCAAAATGAAGTGACATGAGAAACTGCATATTACAGACAGAGCACAATCAGTTAGTCACGATTAAATTAGTCACATAATCAGGTCTTTAAAAGTATGGATACAGCTCTCATCTATTTTTCAGCATAATTACTAACCTCCATGACTCTTGTTTGCAGGCCAGGCGAAGATGAATTTCCTTCTATTTGGTGAAATAAAAGAGCAAGCCTACATGAAGATGCCCTGGCTTTGTTGATATGCTAGGGATTTTTGAAGTTGCTGTCACTTGAATGTATGTCTGTATCTCTCAATCTCTTTAGGGTACATTTGCAAATCCTATGTAATGAATTATTCTGTTGATTTCAGTATGCAGGAATTTATGTATTAGTATTTTATAATTTTCTGACAACAGCCATATCTTAGTACCCCTAACACATGAAGTGAATAGAATGATTAGTAAAGAGCCAAAGTAGACAATAAACAAAGATTTCTGGGTTTCATGGTTCACATCTTGTTGGGAGTGTTTGCCAGCAATTTGCTTCATCTACATTTAGTTTAGCTGGCTCTGCATAGCAACAGACTCATAGCACCCTTTGAAGAATTTCCCTTGAGAAATGTATGGGTTAAAGGTTTATTTCTAAACAGCTAAAGGTGTTTATCATTCCTCTAGGGCCTTTTAAGTTAATGTAGGTGAAATTTTCTTTCTGATTTAAAGGTGCAAGGAAAATGAAAGGAAGAAAATAACATTTCCGTGTCAGGTAAATAAAGATATAATTTTAAAAAAAAATATTCAGATGTTATTAAAGTTTAGAAAAAAATCTGCAAGGCCAATTTGGAAAAACTGCTATTAATTGTGTTGTTAAATTATTCCTCTTTGTGGTCTATAATGTGTCCTGCCAGACAGATACATATATGACCAATTTGCATTTGTTGCATTTCTGAAGCAGAATCAGCTAGATGCACAAACTACTTTTAACTGATTTTTAACTATTGCTTGGTATTTGTGGGAAGCAACTGAATCCAACTCACTACAACCTCCTTTGAGATAGTTCTAGAGAATGATAATGTCACCCCACAGCCTTCTTTTCCTCCAGGCTACACACCCCCAGCTCCCTCAGCCACCCTTCATCAGATTTATGTTCCAGATTCTTCACCAGCTTCATTGCTCTTCTTTGGATGCACTTCAGCACCTCAGTGTTTTTCTGAGGGGCTTCTCAGCCTTTTGTCTTAAATAGAGTCTAGTGTAATATGTATGTTAGTGCATACATATCATCAGGTTCCTAAAATCCTGATAATTTTAGGAAAGAGTCAAAATGCTGGAAAGCAAGCAATGTCTATATGGCATTGAAGTAGGTCTTCACAGAAAATGTATGCAGTCAAGTGCAGAGAGATTTGAAGGTGATGAAGGCTCTCAGCAAATACACTAAATTTGTTCTGAATTCAGAGCTTAAAACAGGCTCTCATATTTGAAGCTGACTGGGAGGTGTTTAGGTTGTGGCTTGCTTTCCTTGCAAATCAAGCACTTCTTTTTTCTTAGTGGGGCATTTTAGCTGAAAGTTTTCTGAGATTGACCATGTATGTTAATCTTTTTTTTTTTTTTCAGGATGTGTAGTTTCCCTATAAGACTTCTATTTATCTATTATAGAAAGATATATTTGTGTATCAAGAGTGAATTTGACTGTTTAATTAGTTTTTCCTTCTGTTCCTTTAAAAATATAAATCTTACTTTCAGGCATTTTGTGAAGGAATCTGTTAGAATTTCTGAAAGTCAGAAATTAGAGAAAGCAGTCAGAATATGACTGTGGCTGCAAACTCCACAAACATTTCAAAATGTCATCTTATACCAACAAAAAAAGCATAAGAATTAACTTTCTCTGCTGCAACTTTAGGGGTACGATTGTATCATCTATGTTGAAAGTGCACCCTTTTTATTTAAAATAAAAACTGTCTTCATCAAAACAAATACATACAGTGCACAGATTTAACTATTATATTACAAATAGCTTGTAGCTGGAATTCTGTGGTAAACCAAATCTGCAATATCTCTTGTACCCTTTGTGAATTCAACTGTCACAAAAGTTACTTAACAGGTCCCTTGCTCTGAGGCAAAGTCTGTTCATAGCACTTCAAACACTGGCAAACACATCTAGAAAAAATAATTAACCATATTTTAGTCTTGTATATCTTATTTACAAATGAGGATTGAATAATCTACTTTCATTTTGATACAAAATGCACTTATCTACGTAATCTCTCCTGTAGATTTGCCAAATGTTTTTTGCAAGTGGTCTGTACTGATTGCATCTCTTTTGACTGTGAGTTACAACTATACCTCTCAAAAAAAACAAATTCTCAGAAGTGGTATCTCAAATCTATCTCATTGACCATTCAATTCTTACTGCAAAATGGTTGTAAGATCTTTACCCAGGATATTAGTAAATAAAAAATAGTTGCTTTTCACATCAAACTGAGAACTCTTCTTAGACCATGAATATCAAGGCACAACATGACTTCTCATCCTGCTCTTATGTGATTGTCTTTTTAGGATGAAGTGATATGATGTTCTTTGATGCCCTGATACCAACAAAAAAGCTGTGTCATGAATGAAAAATAGTAGTTTTGATCAATATATTTCTTGCCTGAATGTATATAGAATCACATTTTACTGGGGTCTGTATCTTTAACTGAGGTCAGTATCTTCTGGCCCTAGGAAAACATGATGATATTCTAGCTCATATTATGCATTGACAGAAGTAGTCAATGCAGGATAGCCTATAGCCTATAGTTCTTAATTTGCTGCATTTTAGTATTGCCAAAAATATACTGTAATTTTTTCCTCACAGGGCATACTGCAAGCTGTGGAAAGAATGATTTTTTTTTCTTCACTGGAAGCTTAGCAGATTTTTTTTTTTTTTTTTTTTTTTTTTTTGTGCTATGTATTTCACTGCTGCCAGAACAGCAGAGCAAAAGAACATAGCTGGAGGAGAAGATGTATGCCAAGATGTCCCTGCAATGTGATGGCCCTCAGAAGTGTCACCTTGGTTATGCAGCCACAAACGAAAACTAGAAGCCTATTGCTTTTTCCTAACTCATGGATAAATTCTTGGAAGTCTCTTACTTTTGAGCACCCTACAGACTCAGAAATGATAAGACATTTAAAAAATAACCCTTGAAAGTACTTTTAATGTCATGACATCTGAGATAATCACACAGCTTCTGTGACCTTGACTGATGCTCTTAAGAGATTGAAAATGCTCAGATGGGGGTATATAGTCATGTAAAAGAAAAATTACTTGGAATGTAAGAAACACAATATTTTAGATCATCAGCCTCTAAGAGTAAGACACAGCACAACTCAGGAGTAGACAAGTAAATGGTCAGCACAGATTTCTGGACAGCTTCTAGTGCTGGTTCAGATCAATCACTGTGGCTGGAGTCAGCACAAAGGCTGGGAACTGATTGAGATACTGATCTAAACAAATGCTGTTATGTGGCCTCATTCAGGTATCTTAAGAGGGAAGAGGCTTCGCTTCCTTAATTGGCCATGTTGGTCAAAGATGCTGTTGTAGGTACTCAATGCATTTGTTCTGAGTGAAATCTGCCAGGGTGTGTGCAAGGCATGGCATGTACAAGGGCATGTTTAGGAATCAGGCTGACAGTAGGGATGAGAGGAGGGAAGCATGTAGTGCAGATGAAAAGGCAGTGACAGCTTGAGATGAACAACAGGAAGGAATAATGGTGAGATATGAATAATTTGTAGAGGTCTGCAGATTCCTTGGCATCTGCAAGGAGGCAAAATGTTGGCATGTTAAAAAGTGCCTATTGTAATTCTTTTAATGATACTGCTCTGCGTTAGCTGCTGTGGAATGTGCTATCATTCCAGATTTCTTCATAGTTCTGTAAAGAAACCTAATTTAATTTTATAATTAAACACATTTTACAAAAGTGACAATTACTAGCATCATACATTTTTGTTTAATGACAAATTAGATCTCAGAATGTAATATCTTGAGAGTTTTTGTTTTAATTTATTTTTTTTAATCACAGATTTCCATTAGGAATAGATAAATAAAATATGTACCTCCGTGAACTACTAAAAATAATATGCAACAGTGAGGGATATGAGGGCTTTGCTATTTCCAAGCATTTCAAATTAAATACTTTAAAACTGGGATGCCATTGGCAAAATGTCTAGGTCTCCTGCCTCAGTACTATGAAATTAGTTTGTAGCAAAATCCTACTATGTCTCATCATGTGTATTCTTTGTTTTCAGTTTTGTCACTTATCTTATTTTCATTGGGGGTTTTATTTTCTATGAATAAACACTGAATAGCTATATTTATGTATCCTTAAAAACCACTGTAAATTAACATAATACCACTGAAGATAATGAAGCTGAGCAGGGCTCTAACAGCTGAGATTAGATACCCTTCTTTGTGCAAAAGAAATGTCAGTGTAGGACAGGGACTTCATCTTGATGAGAGAGTGGTGTAACGTTTTGGGATGTGAGCCAGAAGCCAGCCAGTGTAAAACTCAGCCTGTGCAAAGCATTATATTCCCTCCATATCCCCTTTGCTCTTTCCCTTCTGTAGCTGAAAAAGGAGCACTGCCAACAGCCCCATTACAACTGGGAAAAGAGATCTCTTTAAAGATTTAACCTCTTGTTTTTCTGCATGTTGGCTTCTGTTCATTTAAATAAATAAATAAATAAAAGCTCCCATTAGTGTTGCGTAATCAGCCTGCAATCAGAAACACAAAAGGAAAATACTGACTGGCTTTTGAACTACATGTTGTCTCTACAAGTTCTCAAAGAATTACATATTCTTTGTTCTCTTAAAAGGCAGTATGGCTGTCTCTGGTCTGGTAATAAATAAAAAAGGCTATTGAATCTTTGTCTAAAAGCTGTGCAAGAACTAGGTGTGTACCTATTTTTGTGCTTTGGGTACCTGAATGCTGAAAAACCTATTAATACTAAAATAGATCACAGAGGTTTAAAAGATTGAAAGATAGGCCAAGTGGTTGCTAAGCTTTAGATTTACAGATGTCTTTGAAGACCTGACTGAAATCATAATGATAAAGGATTTTTTTGCTTAGCATGCCTGCTACGGTTTTCTCAGACATCAAGTATTTTAGGCTCTGTCCATACTTCTGTTCTGAACTCATGGCAGCATATTCCTGGGGCTGGTTTCTACCCACTTGCCCACAGTGGTGGTATTTTGTTTTACACAGCAGTATAAGAAAGGATTATACCTCTTATTTTTCTAAATGGTGAAATCTAGAATCACCAGCAGTTTAAACTCAGTTTAATTTAAAAACAATAATCTTAAATTTGAAACACAAGCAAAATTGAAATAAATATTTAAATCGGACAGTATCAAAGTTGATTGTCATACCATATGTTAGCAAGTAAAGGTGAGGCAGTTTGACAAGTAGTTGCAGTGTGTTGTTTTTACCAATTGGTTAATTTTCTTTTTTCTTTTAAAGTGCACGGCAGCCCATGGCTGCCATTTCTGCTGCTTGTGCTTCAGTACAGGCCAGCTGAACAGAACATCTAGCTAAGATCAACAATGAGATTAGGTCTTATTTAGAAAACATCATATAAACCAGCCAAGTAAGCCAAACAGACAAAAGTAATGTGAACAAAAAACCGCGACTTGAACTCACAGTGATCTTTCAAGCAAGATAAGAGAATGAATTAATTAGTCTAACCTTTAGCTGGAATTGCAAAGCATTTACCTGCATACAACTTCAAGGCTTTTGTCTATGTGGAAACAGTTGACTCCTTAGTGAGGGCTGAGATGTTCTGAAAGAGGCATTCTTTGTGTATTTTCTTGAATCTGTAGACGTACCAGCTGTAATGCTTTGCTGATTTCCTATCACAGGCTTACTTTATGATAGTGGCACCTGAAAAACAGGATTCTGAATTGCATCGTACAAAGTAAGATTTCCTTACTCTTGGCAATTTTTCTGTAGCAGATGTTAGAGAAATTACAATGCCACAAAATTACAGGTGTTCTTTTGTTCTGCCCAAATTTGATATTGATGTTTTAGAACTCAATCCCCAGAGACTCAATGAATAGGTGGTTTTTAAAAACAGTAGAGTTTCTCCCTGGCTCTTAAAGCTAATCTATGTCTGTTTTAATGTGCATGAGCTAGCTTATAGCTCTCTTGCCTCCAGCCTTCTACAGCTAGCATTAGGCCATCAGCAAGAAGGGTGAGTATGAGAAAATTACTTTTGAGATCCCTAAAGTTATAAATTCTATCCCATTTGATAAACAGAGCTGAGATTACAGGTCTGAGGGACATGTATCTTAGCCTGTTATTCCCCAAGCAGATACCTTAACATAGATGAATTAGGGCATGATATTTTGGAGCCCCAGAGCTACCACATTTCCACTGGAATTCCTCCTCCAAATTAATAGTTTGGAGAAGGGGGAAAAAAGAAGAAGAAAAGAAAAAATAGGAGTTTAAAGAGATGCCTGACTTTCTATTGGTGACTTGTCCCTTCAAGAATGAAATTATCCCATCAGGACGTGAGGAAAAAAATAATCTAACTTGGTGCAGACAAAATAAGTTTCCCATAGAATACAAAGGAAGGGTGAGTTTAAGATTATAACTGAAAAAGGCTGTACTTGACCAGAGCAAAAGACCATTCTGCTCAGTGTGCTGTTTCCAGTGGTTGCGGTATATGAACACTTAGGTAAGGGTACAAACAGTGTAAAAATAGGATTCTTCCTCTAATCGCTTTCTCTGCCTCAGGACTGAGCTAGATGCATTTAGCAAATTTAAATAGATTTCTTTTCCATTAGGTTTTTCAGTCTTCCCCAGAGTCCATGTAAAATTTAGAATCTATTATGTCCCTTGGCAAGGAGTTCAACAAGGTTGTTAGTCCTTTTTTTAGGTGCCATTTTTAGCATTTTTTTTTCACCCTGGCTCCTGTCATCTCTTTTCTAAACTGAAAAGTCCTTGTTTACTTACTTATTCTATGCTTGAAAACATTCCACTCCTGTAATCATCTTCACTTGCCTTATCTAATTTTTTTGTTATTATCTTTGTTAGGGGACAAGAGCTGCTCATTGTGTTGAAGATAGGGACAGACACAAATTTAGATACTAACTTATGAATCCAAGTTGGTGTAATCATATTTTAAAGATGCTTACCTTTTTCTGCAACTATAACAGGTTCTGTTTTGTTCTCTGATTCTCAGAGAGAGATTTTGAAGTTTGCATTTCAAGCACAGAAATATTATAAATAAATTACGAGCATATTAACTGAATGTTTACAAGTCATAGCAAAAATCTTCAGGCACTGCTCTACAAAGCAAAGCCTCTGTTTACAAAGAAGAGAATACAAATAAGCACTCCATTGAAATTTTGTCAACATCAAGTTTATTTTTTTCTTAGTATCAAAACTTGATACGAGTTTTCAACTTTGTCACAAAGAAAAATAGGCAAATTTTCAAGACAAAGTAGGGAATTAATAGCTTGTAAATCAATACAAATACTAACAGAGCAGCAGCAGCTTCTCTATTCTGACCAGTAATGCAACTTTGCTTCAGAGTCAGCTGTGTACTTCTGAAATTTTTACACTGTTTTTTAATCTGCACAAGATGTTGCTTGCTAAATCTGAAAGTAGAATCACCTCTGGATTTTGCATGGCATTGCACAAAGACAAACAGGGAAAAAAAAGGGTACCAGAAGATCTAAGAGATCTGATTAACTCTTTAAATATTCAAGAGCTCTTACCTAGCTCCAGGAATATATTAAATGCTGTGTACTGCCGAGATTTGTGCTCCCTGTCTCTGTTTCTCTCTTTATAGAAAGGTTTCTCACATATATGTGGGTAAAATACACTTGATACTAAGATTCCTTGTCTGTGCAAACATTAATATGCTTTGAGAAGGAACATTTTCTGCTTAGATTGCTGTTCTGTAGCTCTTAGTGTTGTTTCCTGTGTAATCATCTGGTGTAATCATCCTATATCAAGAAGATAATAACTCAGTCTAGTTTCTGAACACATAACTGTATGTCAATAGAAAGGAGGAGATTATACAAAGTAGAGGATATGCTTCCTAAAAATTGCTTTATCGCGCTGTGGACTTTGCTGGACACCTGAAAATATTCACTTTTTAAAGTTACCTATGTACAACTTTTCCTCATTTGTTTTGCTTAGATGTTTAAGCCCTATTTCCAAATTAAGCAGTTCACTGAATGCACTTGATACTGTTAAATATTTAACAATAAATATCTAACTATTTCCCAAATAGTTAGATTAGACCACATTAGATTAGTTAGATTAGTCCACATTCCCTGACTGTGTACAGATCAGTCACACATACTTGTAGTGTGTCATAAGAATTACAGTAAGGAGGGGGATGCAGAAATCTCTGGCCTCTGTGATGCCATGAAAGACAGATCCTTGAGTAATCTGAGTTTTTCACATTGGCTTGAATGTGATGGCTTGAAGTTCTTGGCTGTCTGACATACAGTTGACAAGACAGCACAGAATGAGACCCTCTGGTTTTTAATCACATAAAAATCCTGTATTGCAAACAAACTAAACTCTCTAGATCACAAGAACGATGCATGGTTGCCATGACAGAAGTCTATAAGCATTTGGCAACCTTCAACCTTCAAAGAGCCTACTGGATTCAAGAAAGCCGAAGGATCCATCTGTGACATGGCTGTCAAAGTGGTGTAGTGGAGAGGGTTCATCCTCTGACTGGTCATCATATAAGAATTCTCAACCCATATGAGTTGCTAACACAGCAAACACATTGCATTTACTGTTGCTGTACCAATGGTTTTGACCACAGTGACAAATCACATCTGCTGCTTAACTGCATGTGTGAAGGTAGAGCTGAGCTCCGGCTCAACAGGGCGTGACAGACTGTTTCAAGTCTATCACATGTGTTGAAAAATACTTTGTTTTTCAAATTGCACACAGTGATAAAGAGGACCCTAACTTCTTCATTGTAAAGGATGAAGCAGCAAAAAAATTGCTAATTATAGAAGACAGAACTTCTCAATTTCTGCTAGCAGGATTGGAGAAGTCTTCAGTCAGGGCAGAGGGAAAAGACTGAAAAATCCAGAATCAAACATGGGATTAGAAGAAAGAGGTCAGAAAGGATATTGCTTGGGTAGCAATCTCTTAGAATATTCCATAAATGTGTCTCTGCTTTATGTTTGACAGTGGACAGCTTGTTCCCCCATTCAGGTTGGAAGTTAAAGATGCCAGATTTCTACTGTGAAAATGCAAAGAATGGAGGATGTATGCATATATCAGAAAGTAGTGTGTATATATATATTTATTCTCAATATGGGCCTTCCAGCATGAAAGTCCAGGATTAAATTCATTACCATAAGTATCTCTTTCAAAATGTATTAGAAAGTCTATTTTCAGAGTGCAAAACAGCAACAAAAGTCCATTTCCCAAGCAATTTCCCCTGTGCTTTATTGAGAGTAGGAATGTATGGTTTTGTGTGTTTGGGATATTGAAGGAGCAGCTCATGTCTCCAGAGGTGATTGAAGCATTGGAATTTATTTTGAAGTAATGAGCTTGGAAGAAAAAGATGGAAAGAGAGTTCTGTCATTGCTGAAAGTCTTATAGAAGGAGGGGAGGGTGCTGAGAGTTGAAGAAAAAGTGAGACTACCAGCAAAGGCAAAGGCAGCATTCTGTCTGACCTTTTCCTCATGATCAGTGGGACATCTTCTCAGTGTTGTATTCTCCTTTTTATTTTTTTAGAGCTCCCTCCACCATCCAGTGCCCTCTTGCTTCTCCTGCTGTTCTCTGTAGCAATTTATTGTCCCAGGGAGAAAACCAAAGAGCAGCAGGGAGACAGTGTTTGCTGCATTGTGGGATCCAGTGTCATCCACACTGAAGTAAGTGTAAGCATGGTAGGTTCTTCTGGATGTGTCTTACAGACTGTGATCGCGGTAATTCCCAGCATCTTCTCTATAAAATAACTGTTTTTTCTCCAGGTTATTCTTGTTATACGTTAATTATAGGCTCTTTAAAAATGTAGGCTAAGGTCACTAGTTAATTTTTGTTGGCAATGCTAGATGATACAATAAGAATTTGAGGCAGCCTACTAATGTTCAATTACAGTAATTTGTTTAGTCAGCTGAAATGCAACACTAGGGAAAAAAGTGTGGCTATTTTTTTATGCTCATGTTTGTGAAATTATAGTAATCTTACAGTTGAGAACTGCTTTCTTCAGTCTTCTGTATTGTCTTATGCTTAATTTTGTGACTATCCCTATGATATTAATTTCAGAAAATTAAAATTCTCAAGAAGTTTCATGCATTACTTTTAGTTTTGAAATGGTTGATATCCTAAACTGGGTAGAAAAATAAAAACAAATGTAATATCTTGCTCAGGGCCAAATTATTATATTTTAAAAAAATTATCTAGTTTCAAAGAAACACAGAAATCAACATTTCCTTGCTTAAAAGAAGCCAATGATTGCTTGCAGTACTCAAGCATGCTCCTTTTATCTGCTGATTTCAGAATTCTGATCTGAACAACAATTAGTGCATCACTCCTTCATGGACTGATTGGTAGTTAGAAACAAGATTTAATAAAAATTAACTGCAAAAATAATCCTCTTGCAAAATGTATTTAACAATACTTGTATATGCAAGTGCATGATCACTTCCTAACTTGCTAATATTGGAAAGATAGAATTAAATTTTGGAGTTGCTGTTAAAAGCCTTCTGGAAAATATGGTTCTAAGTAGGTAAAGAAAGCACAGATTATTAAGGTAGCATTCCTAATTTCTGAACTGAAGCTCTTTAGGCAAAGTGTAAATAGCACACATTATGCACAGAGAACCACCCCAGCAGTGTGATTTGAATAACTGAATAACTAAATCAGTGTTTCTCACCTGGCAATATTTTTTGCTTTAAATGTATCTCTTCTCCTGACTGAATTGTTACCACCACACTGTGATATATTTGTGTGAAAGGAATCAAATATCAGTGTTAGAGGGTCATGCCTCTTGACTTGACTCAAAGACCTAGTGTTAAATGATTTTATTCTGCTTTCTTCCTAGGAGCATGAATTCAGCTAGCAGAGGAGTTTGGATCTGTTTGGTTCTATGTGCAACACCAGGATGACTTGGATAGGAAGCAAAGAACACTGCTGGGAAAGCTTTTATATATGTTCTTAAGAGGGAAAATAAGCGTTTGCTTATCTGCTGTGTTTAATTGAGTTGGGATTATAATTGCTCGAGTTTTCATTCCCGACTGCTTTTGTAATGGGAACAGTGTTTGCAGTGTGTTTTAGTCTTCCCGGGCTTCACTATGTGCATTAATCTAGCTTTATGAAGGATTTACATTTTATATTTTCTCATAATATTTTTTTATAAGTAACAAAAAGCTCCCCAAGTAAGCCCACCAGGCAAGGCTATGGACAGTTAAAAGAAAAGGATAGCTGTCGCAGTAAGGATTTGTACAGTGAATGTAGCAAGGTTGGCAAGAAAAGTCAGAAAACTATTTATGCTCTCTAAGGGTAACTAATGGTTTAATAGTAGATGGCCTGAAGAAAATAATGGATATAAATAAAGTATGCTTTTATTCCCCAGCAAAAAAGATAGAAGAAGAAAAAATGAAAAAGAAGAAAGAGGCCAATAGTATGAAAAGAGCTTTAAAGATGGAAAAATGTACATCAGGGAAAGAGGAGTTGTTCAGTTTATGCCACCATTTTAATAGACCTAGAGGATTTCATTTGACTTGTAACCTTTTGACACAAGCCAAGATTTCCTATTTTGGATAATAAATGTATGTTGGATGAGTAAATGCCTCTTGTATCTAGATACAAATGCCACTTTTATGTTGGAAAATGTAGTGGGTTATGTACAGTAGTGTTGTTGATATCAATGGATAAAAATAAGTGGATTAGTTCTGAAAATAATGATGAATACTGTTATGGAAATATCCCGTGAAATAATGAACTGGGGGATGTGAAATGTATCTACATGTGGAACAAACTGAAATATGATTTTTTAAATTATTTAACTGGATTCCTCTCTCACCTTTCCTATCTATCTATACAAACATAACCTCATACAGTATTAAAGAAAGAGGGAGAGTCCAAAGTTTAAATAAAATTCTCCATGGTCATAAACTAACCTGTAGCATTGGAAAAATAGGAAGAAATATTACTTGAGGAAAAACTATTCTGTAAATAACTAATGCACAGTGCTGCATCTTTTGCTGAAACTGTTACTGCCTGTAAGCTGCACTAGATGGGCAGAACATTTAGGGTTTCATCTTTGTTGCAGTGTTTTGGTTGACTATTTTAATCTTTTGAGACCTTGACTATTTCATATTTTTGATATTTCCCACATTTAATATCTATCTAATCAAAGCATGAGCCTTGAAAGTTGCATTTGCTAAGGCATTAATTATTTCCTTTCTAACAAACAAAAAAATACATCATCTATCACTGATATTCACAGAACATTAACTAAGTTTTAGTTCATCCAAATTTATCCTGAGGCTCAAGTCATTCTTAAACCCTGTACTAGTCAATCAAGTCCACTTTAAAATTCAGATCATCCATTTTATGGGTTTCCCTTGGTGCTATTTGTCAGAAGATTTAAAGTCACTTGAAAATTTGTACACCATGGTAAACCTCAGTTATCAATTGCCATTTTTTTCTTTGCCTGCACCTTTTTTTCCCCTCTAAAGCAATTATCACCCATTTCTATACATACTAACTTCTTGATATGATTCATGATGGCTATTTTTAAAATATATGGTGATCATTGTGCATCATGAAGATGAGAGCCTTTACCCACGTTTGAGATTATGAAATGTTTTGAGAAAAGCTCCTATTCTTTCTCTGTATCAGTAAATCTCGCATATCACTTCCACAAACACATACATCTCCTCACATCCCAATGCTTCTAGGACCTTGGAGCCAAAGTCCTGCGCAGATTTAGACCAGCTGTAAAAGTAAAATATTTAAAATATTTTAATCTATTGATAAGAAGGTCCAAAGAATGGATCTTACCCATTTTTTCCCTTAAAGTCAAATTGAACGTATCTTACATTGTAGGTTTCCAGCAACTTATTTTGAATCTATGTATGCTTTCAAAGGACTATTATTTATAAACTGTTTTCTTACTTTGCTACTTTTTGTAATGGATCAGGGTGTAGAAATACTGAGGCTGTATAGGAAATTGGGCTACTTGCTGGCTGGGAAGCAATTCATATTAGCTACTGTCTACTTCATCTCCTCTTATTGTTTGGAGTGGAAATTAACTCTCCAATACCTACAGTGCCATAGGAAACATAATCTACTTTTTTAATAGCTTGTAGATCAAATAGCTCAACTCAGGGAAATGGGTTCCAATAAAAGCTCCATTTTTTTATGCTGGGCAGCAAATCCATATTATAGAAGCTATCTTCATTACTCATTGGTATATATTGGTATAACTTAAAGTTTCCTTCAAGCAGTGTTAACATTTGATGATGGAAAATGAAGGCCAATAAGCTGTACAGGGTACGTGCTTTGTAAAATAAATTGGCCTCTTGGGAACAGGAGAGCTACAACTTCAGTGATAACGATTATGTTTTTATGGCCCAAGACAGAAATAAAATGTTGAAATGGAAAATTAATGCAAAAGCTTAGTAGGAAAATTATCAAAATCTTAGAATCACAGCATGTAAAAAGTCATTGTAATATATCAAAAAATCTGTTTATGAATGATCAGTTACAGAGAAGCTGAGAGTAATAAATAAGGTTATACTTTCCCATTCTCACTGGCTAAAAAATCTTTTTAATGAAAATGTGCATTATGTGGGTTTTGCTTCCTTTTTTCTCAGGTTCAATTTTCCTTGTTGCTTAAGGTAATTGAATAAGGAGCAATTCATGAGTCAAAGACCACTTCAATTTCTAATTTTATGATGGATAGACAATGATAGAAGATATGACTGTAAAGACATATTATTTGGGCACTTAGCTTCACAGTAATTTATGATGCAATATTAGATGTGATATTTCTGTTGTCAATCTGCAGAATTTGTCAGAGCAAGAAAACAAAAATCAGCATGATATGAGAGTTAGTTCCTAAAAAATCCTTAAAGAACATCTGCAAATGCTTACTGTGGTAATGCCTGAAAATTTATATAACTCTCTCCTGGTCAGTGCTGGCTAGTGTCACTTTGCTTTTTTTTTTCTTTTTTCCCCATTTATTAGTCTGTTGTTAATTTGAATTACAAATAAGTCTATGATGGTTGGCAGCAGTTAGCAGTAGTGTATACAGGGATGCAATATGCTTCATAACCTTTATTAAGAAAGACTTCCATAAAATCCAAAATTGCATTAAAAATTCTCAGTTAACTCACTGCCCATAGGAATTGAATTAATCCTTTTATTGGTTTATTTAATCTGATTAAACTTTTCATGCTCTAGTATCTGCATGCATATTTCTATGTGCAGTGTGTGTATATGCCATATGTAGGATAGAAAACCCATTTTTAAGCAATATTAAGCTTCCAATTACTGAGAGGCAAACCCCTGGTTTCCATAAATGCATAGCAGTATGTGTATATCTGACTTTATACATGTGGTGGAAAGACTCTAATGTGTATTAGAATGGACAGAAAAATATTAATTTTTGTGTCAGAAAGCTCCCATCTCAACTGAAGGTGACACTACTGTACTCTGTTTTGTATCAGCACATTAAATCAAATAAACATCTAAACAATCTTTCATCCTACTTAAAATATTTAGAAGTATGAATGTTTTAAAGGATTAAAAGATGTAGTGTCTTTCCAAGGTCTGGCAGAATGTTTGTGTCAAAGTGAGAAGCTGAAGACAATAGCTCCTTACACTTCAGCATTGTAACAGCTTATGAATAGTAAAGAAACATTTTTCAGGGAAAGCAAGTTCCTACAAAATTTTAAGGTTATAAAGAAGGCACATAGATTTTAGGCTTTCTGGAAAGTGCCTGGGGAAAGATTAGCACTTTCTAACAAGATCCACTTGAGTCAGCAAAATGAGTAAGGAGCTGCCAGAAACCAATTCTTCCTTATTGTCCGTTTAGACACATAATAGGTGATGGGAAGTGTTGAGATGAGGAACTCATTTTAAAACTCAAATCTTAGAACTTCACAGGTACTCCCTTGAAATCCCCAGCTTGATATGTTGCTTCATTAATAGATATCTACATAGACTCTCTGAAAAACAGACAGTTTTCAAAAAAAAAAAAAATTAGGTGGTTTCTTTGGTTTCTATTCAGGGTACAGCTGCATTCTCCAATTCACATTTTCAGGCTAAGAGTGATTCTGTTCATAACATAGGGTGACTAAATTCTGCTCAAATCCCTTCAGACACATGGGAGTCAGGGAAATTCAGGGTTTACTTGTAATTCTTGAAATGTCCCCTTTCTCTTCTTAAAGGAAAGATATAAGGTAAGTCAAAATCCCATATCCCTGTCTTTAATAATTTTTCTTATGCAGTCCTGAGCACTGATTGCTAGAGAGTTTTTTACCAGTAGGGAGTCTGTGGGTAGTTTAGAGAGTTGGTGTAAGAGATTTTTCTTTAATATTGCTAGCTGACAACTCCTTTTATTTGAGAGAATAAAGAAACATGGTGTTAACTTCGCAGTAAACAGGGACTGCTGCTGAAAATTGCCAGTTGAGCAGTGGTCAGCCCAGTGTGTCAGAAGGCAGTTGTTCTTGATTTTTCAACAGCCAGATTAATGGTAGTTTTGTCAGAAATTTTTCATTTCCATAGTTTCTTATTTTACATGTAGTTCACAGGAAAAAAAAAAAAAAGAGAGAACCATAAAAAGATACAGTAGAATACCTGATCAATAGGTGGAAAACAGTATTCCCTATTCCCCCAACATCTATATATTCAGCATTATGTGTTTAACAGGCAGTTGTTACTATTGATTCATTTTTTAATTCACCATCCATTAAAATGGTTTGCCTTTGTATAATGCTTTTTTTTTTGTCAATATGTTTCAGCAAGCTCCTTCTATCTGATCTGTGCAATAGCTAGAGCTAACACAGATCAAAGTGTATCAGATATTTCACAGTGCACAGCTTAATGAAATGTGACTTACTTAATTTTTAGCAATTTAAGCACCTAGCAAAGTGTCATCCAGGGGTGTTTGTGTCAGACATTCAGGTGGAACACTGAGCACATCTGACTCAGATCTTTGAAAGAAGGGTTGGGGCTCTCCTCCCTCATGGAACATGAAGGGCTGGCTCATGCAGCCACATGTAGGCCAGGCCACTGAGGTGGAATGAAAATATCTGATTTTGAGATGTGTGGTCATTAAAGGCTTTTGTCTCCTACCTCAAGGCTAAGTGATAGAAATCCATTACATTTCATGGAGCCATCCAACACCATCTCTCATTCTGAATAGTGCCCAATGTTATCATAGTTGCTCTGATTATCTCCTGTGTCTTTAAGAGGAAAGTGTGAGAGCAGATTTTTTTTGTTCTTCCTTTGTTGTGTTAAACCATGAGACAAAGTCTTTAGCACTAATTATTTATCACAGTGGAAGTTATGTTGGCCTTGTACTAAGGCTGTCTGACAGCTCTCCCATAGAACAGCAGTGGAGCACTTAGTCTATTATTTAAGGGATGAGAGGAGTTATGTTTCTTTTTTTCTTGCTTTATTTTGTCTTTGGTGGTTTTATTTTGCTGTGCATTTGCTATGCTAGTTCAGGAACCCTCGAGAAACGATACTACTCTTCACTTCAAATCACTCCCTAAACACAGAAGAAGTTATCTTTTTTGTGACAATGTGGGTTTGCTCTTGCTTGTGAGTTGACTGTTAATCACCAGCCTGTTCATTTCTATTTGCTTCACAACCAGCCTAATCAGTTCATTACTGAGCTTAACTAAAGTGTTCTCATCCACTCTGCAAGAAAAATACTTCTGAAGCAAGCAGATGGGCACTTGACTGCCTTTGCTCTCCATGTGTACTGTGTTCTGCACTTTAGATGGATGGCTGGCAGTGATCCCAGCCTCTTCCCTTCCTGAGATCCTGTATTGCTGCATTTCATGTTCATGGCTACTGAGGTTTTACATGTTCATTAAATAATGCAAGACTAATGTAAGACATTTATGCATGCAGACACAGAATCTTAAAAAAAAAGGTTCTTACAGTGGCTTAACTATTAATACTATTGAAAAAATGAAGACTGAAAGCAAAACACTTGCTGAAGAAAAAAGTAAGGGTAAATTGAATATTTTTATCAGTTTTTCTCTGCTTTCTAGGTCAGCATCTCATACAGAAGACTAAATCATTATGTGAATGCATTTTTCTGTCTAATTGTTTGAAATATAGATATATTTTTATCACTTCAGTATTAGCCTCTACAAATTGTCCCTCCCTCATCCAACAGAATTTCAGTATTCTTTCCTCACTCATTTAAAAATGAAACAAAGCAACTCTGTGAATCCCTTCACACACACACACACACACCTACAGCTGCAGGAAAAATCTAAACAACAAAATATTACCATTATTTTATAAAAAATATATGCAGGTCAAAAGACCAGTAATCACCACCTGTGGATTCAAGTCCAGCATTCTTATATTGTTGCTCTAGTGTTTGATATCCTTCCATTAATTAATGAGGAGTAGCTAAAAAAGATCCGTTTTATTTCAGTATCAGCGAGCTACTTTTTAGACACAGTGTTAAAAGAATTTTAGCATTGACACAGTATACTGCTTTATCACTAATGCAGTTTTTGTTCATGAAGGAGATACAGAGTCTCAGAGTTTGCATTTTGATTAACTTGGAGGTCTTTTCCAACCTTAATGGCTCTATGATTCTATATAAGCAAATGCTACAAACAAGGGAAAAAGAGATTATGTCCCCTGTCTATTGCTTCAGAATGTGTGCCATTGAAAGCTGGATCATATCTAGTGTGTGGAAGAACTTGCAGATAAAAATATTATTTAGCAATAAAGGAGTTTAGAATGACATAAGATGTAGTATCACTTCATCTGGTAATTTTTTCATTTTCACAATAATAATTTAGGTAAAAGAGTAACAGTAATAAAAAATAGGACTATTAGCAGAACTGCTGTGTCATATACAGTGTAAGGTATAAAAGCTCACTATTCTTTGTCTGTTTAGAAAGGAAAATACTTTTAGAAACAGAAAATTTAGAAATACCTTTAGAAATAGAAACTTTCAAGATATTAGAAAAATATATTCTAAAAAGGTCAAAAAGAAACTATCAGAACACTTCAGAATGAAATGTTGAATTTTTTGGTAGAGAATTTCTTAGAATTATTTTAATATTATGCCATATGAGAAAAAATTGTTTCATAGCCTCATGTTTGTGTAAGATTTTGAGTGTTCCCTCCATATTTTTTTATAATGGAAAACCTTTTACTACAAGTAAGTAAGAAATACAGTAACTGTAGGCAAATGCTTTCAGTCAAACAGAGATGTGGTTTTTTTGTGTAGTCCATCATACTGACCTGGAAAAAGTGTTTGAATGTGAATGTGAATTCTTCTTCAGAGAAACTCTGTTTATTGCTCTGTAGATCAACTTCATCATCTTCCATCATTTAAGATCTAATCCAGAGGTCCTAGCATTCAACAGAAATATTTATTCATGCTTCCATGGGCTTTGGATTAGAAGGTGAAAAGGAGTTCCAAGTTCATTATTCAGTGAGAACTAGTGGAGTTTGTTTCAAAAGTGAAAGCAGATATTGATCTGCTGTGTGAAACTATTACATGGTCTTCTAAACATTTGGACTAAGCTCTGGTATTGTTGTACATCATTCTGGCTTAATATGCAAGTCACATTGGCCAACCAAGTGTGAACCTAAAAATCCACTGAAAATTTTATAGCCTAAAAATTCTGGCTAACCTCCTTAACCTTATTTAATGCCTAGCTAATCAATAAATATTGTGCTGGTGTGTTTTTGGGGTTTTTTTTTTGGTGATAGATTCTACTAGGTGTTAATCTGAAAAGTTCTGATTTGCTTACCCAGAGAAAACAAAGTTTCAGAATCACTCTGAAGTGGCTCCAGTATAAACACCTTGACCCCTTGACTCAAGGCTTCTTCACAGTACATTGTGAGAATGTAATTTTTCAAACCTGAGAGTGAGAAGTGCAATCTAGTCTGGACCTGGGTTTTTCTTGCTATAGGAAGAGGAGAGAAATGTCAGCGCTGCCTACTTAACAAGGACAAGATTAGAAAATGAGGTTCTGGTGCTTCTTCTGTCCTGCAAAAGAGAGAAGGGGATAAGGATGATGTCTCAGCTGAGTCTGCTGGCTTGAGGGAGGCTGGAACTAGGTGCCCTGGATCACAGCCTAAGCCCTACCTCAGCCTTAGAAGTGACAGAAGCAAACCTGTTTATGTCTAAGATTTGCTGCCAGTACGGATATTTGCACCATGGCTGGGGTCGCTTTCTTATCTGTTGTCTGAAGCAGCCCCCAACTTTGTCTGTCCCTAAAGTTTACTCTGTTCTTCCAACACTAATTCCTTTTTTTGTTTTGTTTTGCTTTGAGAGATAACCAATACTCATATATCTCCTTGCAAAATCAGTTGAAAAGACACATGTTTTTTTAAAGGCTTTAAAAATACTTTCTGGGGGTTGATTGTGACATTTCAATAGTTCCTCCTAAACTAACATTGTAATTACACTGCTGGGTGTAGGAAAAATAATAATTAAAAAAAAATCAGCATGGTTAAGAGATCTTGAAGTCCATCAAAGATTTCAGAGAGCTTTAGCTCCAAAAAATCTGGGAAGGTTTGCAGGAAAAATTCTCAAAAATCCTTTTTACAAAGAATCAGTAACAACTTAATCCACATTAATTAGGTCAGCAACATTATAAGTGCAATTAAGTAGTGGTGTTAAGTGTGAAAGTTTAACATTTTGCTCAGATTTTGTTGAATAATGATGTACTTAAATAATGTTTATTTTGACTCAGTAAACATTTCTTTGTTATACAGGATTACATATATGAAGCATGGAAGGTAAAAAGTACTTAACATTAAACTCTAAAACAAAATCTTAATTTGCAAAGGACTGGGGTTTTCTTATAATTTTCTTTTTAGAATAACTTCTAAATAATTAGTGTATCTTTGAAGTAACTGTTTTTTATTTATGTTCACATTTGTTTCCATGAAAAAGTTCGAGCATAATAAAATATTTTCTAGGACTTTTATTTCTTTATATCTTTTTAGTGATGTCCAATCAATGTCCAGAGAAATCTTGTCTTTTCTATAGAGAGAAAATGCTTGAAGTCACACTAGGTCATCTTCCTTCCTAAAAAAAATAAAATTGCCATGAAAACCAAACCTTTGTGTAACCAGGATATTTTGACAATTCTAATTGTTTCAGATGTTCAAAATTATGATTGTAAGCAGGTGTCAGGTAGGTATAGCAAAATGGTTTTTTTTTTCTTCATTCATTGCATAGGAAAGAATTAGAAAAATAAAAGCCAGGAAGATTGATTTTTTTTTTATGTCTGTGATGCAGTAATTCACTAAAATTGAAATCTGACATTTGTTGACTTAAGATTAGCAGCAGTCAGGCACAGGGAGAAAACAATGCATTATACAATTTTCTTTCTGACTTATGTTCCTAATCCCTGTAAAATGTCAAATTGAAGGTGAGAAAGAGCAAATCTCCTGTGCAAGAATGTAACGAGAGAAACTCTTGCAGTGTGACCAACTCTTGCCATGAATACTTGCAGAACATCATTTTTGCTGACAGCGGAGCAGTAGTGTTGTTTTCATGCTGGTAAATCTGAACACACCAAATGAATTATTGTGACATTTACTGCTCAGGTCTCAGCTTTTCTTCTAGTCTCATGCGTAATACTCTTCCTGATTCCCTGTTCCAAGGCAACATACAGTGCAGATGCACTGAAGTGTTCTATTTGGGTAACTTCTTTCAGGCTGAGTCCCTCAAGAATAGCTGCCATACAGCTTGTGCTTCATTGCTTAGTTAAAAATACAGCACACACTGTGTGTGGCCAGAAGAAACAACAAAAAAAAATTAGCTAAATAAACAAAAACTGTCTTATAACCTTTTGAACCCCCTTCCCACCAATTTTTTGCTTAAGGCAAACAGCCTAATGACAATTAAACTGCATTGGAAATATGAACCTTCATTGACATCAGCTAAATGCTGTCACAAAATTGATGCAGGTTATGCAGTTCTTATGATCTGCTGGATAATATGTGTTTTGAAGGCAGGGTAGAGAAGTTCACTCACAAGTCTGTTTTTTACTTAGTCCTTCCTTTCTGTTTGATCAATGTGAAAGAAAAAATATTTTATTGCATTTTTTTCTTTCAAAACCACCTGCAAAAGCAGTGTGCTTTTGAATTCCTCTTGCTTGTTTACTTCTTCCTTTTTACACTTAGTATGATGACTTGGATAGACAACATATTTTCAACAACATTATGTGTTTACATGTTAGTGGACATTTGTGAAAAGGATGATTTGTTTAATGCTGCTCTAAATGTATTTTATCCTTTTTGTTGTGAGAACTCTTAATTTTTGCCAGAAGAGAAGGGGAAAACTTTATAAGTCCAATTTTTCTTCAAGTTAGATCCTAGGTTTCTGCTGAGAAATCTATTCCAAGAAAGGCAAACTCTTTCCACAGAAAATCACCTTACCCAAACCACAGTTATTCGTCAGAAAAGGTTGGATGGAAACACTTCATCCAGTCTCATTTCCTTTTGCATTAACAGCTATCTTTAATGCACAGATCTTTGAATGCCTTCCAGGCATATCCCTCAAAGATGAGAGATCTACATGAGAGATGTAATGGTTGCCTCATTTGCAATTGCCTGATCAGACCTCAAGCCTCAAGCACAAGTTCAGTGTTTCATAACACTAATTTCTTATAGCAACTTAAAATCTTGGAAAATTGAAGACATTCTGTTGGAGCAGCAATGATATAGCATCTATTACTTGTATATATTTTATGTTCTTCGTTATCCTATTAGTTTATTAAAAAAAAAAGCAATGAGGGAACATATTAACTGGTGCTTGCCTTTTTTCTCTTCCTCACAACCCTACTTTCAAATTTCTATTTTTATTATTTTAATGCATTGATTTTATTTAGTGCAAATTTAATATTTGCATAATTTTTCAATATTATAGCTACTATAGAAACTGTATAACTAATTCTTTGTCGCAGCTGTCTCTCATGCAATTATATACACACTCTTCATTGTGCCCTCTGCAATAGGGAGATAGTACAAAACTATAAGATATGCATGGCTTTGAGTGATGTTTTTACTAGTGGCTAATATGGTATTCATTGTGGTAAAGAAATATTATTTTTAAATAATATGTTCATGGTGTAAAGTGGTTACTGGAATGTAAGAATGCAAGAATAATAGGAAATTGATGTGCGTTTGAGGAAAATGCTTTTACTTCTAAATTTAAAGATTTTAAATCCCCTGCTTTCTAAAGCAACTATAAGAAATACAGCAAAAGGGAAGAGTAGAAACTACTGTTGTGAAAGCCAAATGCAGTAAATTAGATCTGTGGCTCAGTGAATCTTTTCAGCAATATCCAGACAACTACAGATTCTGCGCAGCTTTGTCTCATTCAGACTGGATGGGCATTTTAAAACACGAATGATTAGACTTTATATTCCTGGCTACTTTTACTTTTGGAGATATTCATTTCTGCCTCAGTTCTTATGTGGTAAGTGTTAGTGCTTGATACAGGTCCCTGGTAAATTTCACGACATTGATCATGAGCATATGAGTCAGTGAGACTGTATATCCCTGAAAAATAGAGGACAGAATCACACAGGAAGATACAGATGTTTGATCATATTTTCATGTGCATGGGGCAGGGAAGTAACATTACACTGAGCAGAACTGTTTGAACACCATTTTGAACCCAAATGAACTTGTTCTATTGAGTGGTGTGGTGAACTACTTTGAGGATTTTAGTGCTTTCATGTGCTATGCGACTGTCATCTCATGGAGAGGTGGAGCAGGAAAGGTGGATGACCATGCACACATTTTCTGAGGTTTCTCTGCAGTGTTAGCAGACCTTCTACTAATTTATACCTTTGCTCTTAGTGGCAAGAAGAGTGATTAATCTTTGCACTGAATTGCTATGGCACACCCCCACCTTTACATTTCACACACTTTGAGAGTTAGTCCTTCTAAAGAATAGCATTAGTCAGTGATCATTCAGGGCTTGTTACATTTGGAATAAAAGATTCATGTAGAGTTCAAGACTTTTGCTAAGTCTGGACCTCAAGAGACATGAGTCTGGCAGGAGAAGTAACTGCTGCCATATGAAATAACATGGCATGTACAGCCAGAAAAAAAAAAAGAAAAAGAGAATTAAAATCTTAGTTTAATGACTGACAGAAAAGAAATACAAAGTCATGTAAAGGATGAGAAAGAGTAGGCACCATCTGCTACTCTGTGGAGTAGGATTATAAAATGCGTCAGTCATGCCATCGATGAGAAAAGCAGAGAAAATGCTGCATGTCACGTCATCTGTTATCACAGGTAGAACTTTCAGGAAAGAAAAAAAGCCTGATATAGTGCAGAGAAGCTGCTGCTGCTGGTGATGTGACTCCAGTACTCCTGAATGGTCAAGATCTAGATTACAGGGCTATTCTCCATCCTGATGGAGGAGGAAGCATACAGGGAAATGCAAGGATGATTTAGCATTTATCTTAGTCTTTGTCAATAGCGAAAGCATTAAATATTTCTACTGTAAGAATTTCTTTTTTCCATGTAATGTCATAACCATCCTATTTCTAAACTAATGGTTTTGTGTGAAAAGTTTGAAAGCTCCTTGACTTAAAAGTTTGACAATGTTGAAAAAGTTCTTAGTTCTGCATCTAGTCAGATGAGGCAGATATTTGATATCCATGACATTCAAGTTCTCAAGAGAAATGCATTTAACACAACATCAGGGTTGTTGGTAGCATGCTTTTGGCCAAAGAGAGGCTGGCCAAGGTCAGAGGACAGAAGGCCAGGTCTTCCAGTGACCAACAGGTGCATGTGCAGAGAACAAGGCAGATTAAAGGGACTAGGGTGCTCAGTACAAAGGTGCATGTAATATCCAGGTGAGTCCTCTTAGTGTTCTAGAAAAGGGTTATCTATTTTATTCTTCTTCAATTAGGCCTGGATCAGTGATGCCAGACTGTTAATATTGGAAAAACTGAAAGGTGGAGATAATAATAATAATATCAATCTGGTTTCTTACTGCAGTTTAGAGTCATTTGAGGGATGCAATTCGGAGTACTTATGTAGGATGCTTTGTACATATTTTGTCATTTTGTTTTCTAGCTTCCTACTGTATCGATATCTATATAAAGGACTATTTATTAAATTTTTGAGTTTCCAGAAATATTATTTTACTGATCAGTTGTAAGAATGTGGGTTCTTTTCCTCCCTCAATTCTTAGGGAATGATAGAGATTCATGAGAAGTCAAAGGAAAGGTATTGTTCTCATGTTTGATTGTGGCAGAGACACTGGTTCATGTTGTAAGCTTCATAAGTTTGGGAATGCTAAAAGAAGAAAAGGACAAACTTTTAACTTGAAGGTTAAATGTTGAACATTTTAGTTTTATGTTCTTTCACAAGTTTAGCATATTTAAACCAGAGATCATTTTCCAGAGAAATACCAGTTCCTGATGGTATATACAGAACATCTAAAATTTTTAGAGATTTAGTTCCATGTGAACCCATGTTAAGAGCACTGTTGATCAGATCCTGGCTCTGCATTGCCATTTATATGGATGTCATGTGTCTGAGCTCAGAAACATTGCAGTTCATTTTTCATTAAGGTAAGTCAGCAATCATTTGATTCATTGAACAGTGGATAACATATGTATTTTGAAATAAGAGATTTGATTGCCTTTCTCTCGACCCTACCCTTACTCTTTTAAATATTTAGTTTTATTTTGTTGCAAATCTAGATATATTGCTCTGTACACTTCAGATTCTGCCTGCTACTTCTATAAAAGCAGTTTCTACAGTAAGCCACACATAATTTTGACATGGATTCATATAAGTTGATTCAAGAAAAAAATACCATTTCCGTATCAATGTAGATTTCTTTCTTGATCTTAGAACAATAATACATAAGACCTAAGAGACATTTTGAACATATGAATAAGAAAGAAACTCCTGGTTCCATTCCTAATGAGATAAAAGGTGAAATAATAAAAAAGTTGCCAAAAAAAAATTAAAAACAATCAAACAAACAATCCTCAAATGAAAAACTATTTGAATTTTTAAAAAATTTGTGTACATGCACAAATTGTATGCATACTACTATTATATGTATTTTATATAGATGT